ACATATGGAAGAAGTTTGAAGCCTTTCAAACCAATTAAGTTTTCATGAGAAATCAACAGCAGAATGAAAAACCTAATATGGGAGGAAGAAGCCTGTATCTTACCATGCTAATTTGTATTGTTAGAGAGAAAAGTAAACCAGCAATGTTAGCTATGCTAAGGCTTTTCAAAGTTGTATTTGGTTTGGGTTTCCTTTCAAAAATAATGTTCTAATGAATATGCAGCATGCTGGGTCTGTGGCACTGGCAGTGTGTCCATCACCATGGTACCTGGGCGCTCAAGCAAATGATTAACCAGCAGAGCAAACAAAACAGAAGCAGAGCATCAACAGGGCACTGTGACAAGCTCCTCATAGACCTGCCAGTACCTCTCCACCTGGACCTTTACTCCTACAGGCATTCCTCTGTCCTGTCTTTCACCCAAGCTCTCGTGATAGCCAGATCTTTTTTTCCAAACAGTGCCAAGGGATGCAGAGATCTCTGACTGGCTTAGAAGGAAGGGTGAGATTAATAAAAAAAACAAACCCACACATATTTCATAAGGAAAACTTTGCTTAAGGACACAGTGAGGAAAAAGAAATAATTGTTATTTTCACAAACTAAGCTCGATTATGAATTGACAAAATTGTTTACATCCTGCCATGCCATCAGCCTGGCAACTTTAAAATTACTTTTCTAAAAAGGGAAAACAATCCTTTTCCTCACTGAGGGCCAAAACAACCTTTCAGGAGGCTGATGTGGACTGTATATGAACACTACGGTTAGCATTATCTAATAACAATGAAGAGAATACATAAAAACATATGGCTATGGGCCTTCTGGAGAAAGTCTGGAGACTGCATCAGCCCCTCCCTACACTTCAAGTAAGTAGCAAGTTAATGACAACTCTGATCATGTTTGTTTAACATATCTGCATATAACTACTTTGAGCTTTTTCTAACTTGGGATGCTTAATCAGAGACTTCTGGTGTTTTAGAAAAAAATATTCCATTGAATCATCTACCCCTTGCTGCCTGGTGTTCTGTACAAAATCTCTGAGGAGCACAGGAAAGCAGAGGGCCTTGCATGTAGGCCAACTTCAGAAAGGCTAGCTCCTTTCAGTATTGGGGAATTACACAGCCATAATACAAACCTCACTGAAGAAGTTTCCTGGTTTCTATCACTAGTCAGGACAATAATACTGCAGTCTAATTAAATTACTGTCACGTGAAGCTGCTTCAGACTTATGAAGTAGTTACATACTCTCTATTTCAGTTTTTCCTTTAAAAGAGAAATAATTTTTGAGGGCAATGCCACTTTACTGGCAATGAAAACTCAAGTGTTCTCTTCCCAATGTAGATAAAATATGCTGTGCTACCACTGTGCCTCAGCAGCAGTTTTGAAGCAGATAAGGAGCACTGCATCACCCACCCACCCATATTCCACTGTGAAACTCTGGCTTAAAGTTCACTCCAAGCATCAGTCTGATTCTGTTACTTCTCTTGTGTCTAAATTATACCCATCACTGTCATCTCTAACTGCGCATTTTATCAGGCTTTATAATCAAAACTAAGGGAAGATAGGTTTGTTTAGCTGTTGTAAATGGCTTTGAAGATCTTGGTCTCAGCAAGGGTGATGAATTAAGGATGTCAGCTGGGTAAAGAGTTTAATTTTGAATGAATTTAGCCAAAACTGATTACTGTAAAACTGATATGAACCTTTCAAGTTCACATTATTTCACATACTTTAGCAGTAAATATTCTGCCCCTTCTTGCCATCTGACTCACCAGGTATGAAACTGGAAGAATCAGCAATGATGGCAGCTTCTCAGACATGAGACCAACTTTGGATACTATGAACAGGTGTGAGAAGCCACTTTTTGATTGCAGCAGGGAGTACACCCCTCAGTGTCAGCCCTCAGCTGACTAAATTTCTCCATAATAGGAATTCTGTTAAGCAGCCTAAACACGATAGCTGAAGCATTTATGACAAAACCTAAAACCACAAAACCCAGAAACCAACAACTGCAAAGAACTACTCTGTGACACAGTTATTTATTGGAAGCACCCGTTTTTTAGTCTCTCTGGTCCTCTTCAAATTAATTAAAATAATAACTTAGGGGGGAAAGAAAATTGTCTAAAAATAGTCACCTTTTTTTTCCTCTCCCAGGTAATTCAGAGTCAGGAAGAATCCAAAATAACAGCATGAGTGTTGAAAATTACAGGGTAAGGTTGGAAACCTCTAGAGGTCATCTAGTTCAACCTCATGCTCAAACCAGTGCCACTTTAGAACAGGTCGCTGTTTTATTTTAAAGAATTAAAAGGAAAAAAAAAGGCAAAAAGAAATAAAAAATTACTTCCCCATCCCCTTTTTGCACCAGAAGGAAAAAAAACCCCCAATAAATGTTTTCCCGAAACATATAGCTCTTCTGTGTTGTTCATAAGTAAATATGACCAATATGGAAAATACCTACACCTGCCTCCTTTAGTTAACCTAGTTCCCTTCCTGTCTTGGTGCAGGTAACATTTAGCACAGCATGTAGCAAACTCCAACTCAGTTGCCAGCAGCACTCTGCCACCCTTCAGGCCAGAAAAGGCTAGGAATGCTGCACGTTCAGCTCCAGTGACAGAGAAAATGCTCCGTATCACTCATTAGCAGTCCCCTCCAAGTTAATTAAGGAATGGAGCCAACAGCTGCTGAAGAGGGTTCCACCCCATCTTTTGGGCTGGGAAACCAAGGCCTCTAGGGCAGGGGCTGGCCTACACAGCAAAGAAGAACAGGGTGGGGGAGCCTTACAAGATCTGAGTGAAACCCAGATGACTCATCAGAAAGTAAAATGTTCCTATTTTGGCAAGAGGCTGAAATAGCAGCCCTGGGTTATGCTGCAGCACAGCAATAAATGACCCCGAGCACTTGGGACAAACTCCTGTGCACGTTGATATTCCTAACAGTAGGGGCTATTTCACATCTCATTAAGCAAAGAGGTTTACATGACAATTAACATGTTAATTAGCACGTCTTTTTCACAGGTGGAACTTCAGCTTGAGATTTCAACATTTTTTAGGCAACTGTTCCATGACTGAAAAGGAAGGAATAGTTTCTTAGGACTCAAGGTAACAAGGACTCGTATCCAGAACTGGCGTAGGAGTATATTTGTCTGCGTACTGAAGGACACTGCAACCAGACGATGGCCTTTCCCATAACTTCTGTGGAAGGAGGGCCTCCTTGTGCCTCTGCAGCCTGACATTCAAATCCCAGCCCTCAGGGTGGGCAGGATGCCAGGCTGGCCACTTCATAAGCTGACCATAAAAAGGCCCAATGTACCACAAAGTCACACAGAGGCAAAGCAAAGCCTGGACTTGAACAAACAGTAGCTCCCATTTCTCACCCCCAGCCACTGACCTGTGTGGCTCCCCACTACAAAAACCCCTTTGATTGTATCTGTAGAGATATGACCCATGAGAAAACTCTTCAGCAAACACCAACAAGCAATCGTGCTAATTTCTCTGAAATAGGTATCAGCTGTAGGAGAATGTTTATTGCCCTAAAGCTTCACATTGTAGACAAAGAATTAACCATTTCTACCAGGCACTGCTTTAAAGAAGAGTTGGTATACAAGTATGGATTTCCTTAAACTGCAGGTATGTTTCTCATTGAGGTTTTTATTCAATACCATCTTTAATTTCTATTAGCTTTTGAGAGAATGGATTTGCAGGTATGCAAGAAAATCTAGAATGCTGGAAATGGAATAAGAGGAATTAAAAATCGGAGACTGTAACTGGAACTTGTAACTTAAAAGATCAGGGGGATTCTGACATTCACTGAGTCCCTTCTCTGTCAGATGGATGTTGCCAACCCATGGAAAATAGTGACATGCTTTCTATATGTCATCTTTCACTTTTCTCTGCAAGGAAGCTGTGCTCTAAACAATGCATAAACAAGCAATCATCATATTAATCTTTTACATATTTTGGCACTCAGAGCATAGATAAATCACTGTGACGTAGCTTTACCTATCGTACTACTTATAAAATAAATCTCAGGAGGCTCAGGAGGAACATTAGATAACTTTTCCTTTAATTAGCTTTTGAAAGCTGATGATCTTTTTTAGAGTATGATTTATTCCTTTTATTTATCAGCCTGCCTTATTTCAGATGGGTACTGTCTGACTGACCTCTAGATACCCTTGCACTTGCTCTGTGATATCCCCAGAATGTCAATGCTTCAATTCTTCATCTTTCATTTCCCAAACGTTTCTTATTGGTCACTTCTGGTACTAGTGGCAGCTGAAGTGGAAGTTTATCCTCTGATAATCTGTACTGCTTTAATGGTTCCCAGCATCCTGAGGATATTTTCCAAGTGTTATGGTGACACCAGCCGAGATCTTGGCAATAGAAAAGCGTTTCATACCCTTATTTCCTAACTTAGTCTCTTGTTTTTTTCTGCTTTCCCAACCCTCTGTTAGCCTCTTGATTTCTGTGGCTTAACTCATTTTGTTATTGCTATATTCTTTGTTATCACTTCTCAGTATCTTTCTGATAATAAAGCCTTTGAAGAATCTGAGGGCATTTCCACCATGCATTCAAAATCTCTCAATAAATTTCCCCAAACCTCCAAGTCACATTTGTCCAAAAGCTTAGCAAAAATCCCCTCTAAAAGGAATAACAATAGTCATATCTTCTTTATATATTTCTCTGTAAACTAGGGAGTCTAGGAACTACAGCACATAAACCTTGTAAAATGATGAGCATGTTTCAAACAGTTCTAATATAAAACATTAGACATAAAACAAGTCACCAGTTTTAGCACATCTCCAAAATAACATATGCTTAGAAATGCTTATCCTTGTAGCATCACTATCCTTTTTTTTTTTCTTTCCGTGATAAAATTAGTCTTGCACCAGCATGCCTGAAATAGCAAAATTCTCGTGTAATTTCAATCACTCAGTTTGCTCCTGACTTTTATACAGCTGACTGAACACCCATTATCTCACCTGAAAGAGAGAAGCTGTGAGTTTGCTCACCTCAGTCACCTGCAGGATCTTTGAAATGCCTCCTCTTCTGTTCCTTCCAAAGAGTGCCTTCCCGCATCTCTCAGTCCATTCCCGAGTCTACTGAACATGCAGTCATCAGTAAGTTCTGGCTAAGTTATCCCATGTAACTCTGAAGAAAAAAAGGAGAGGCTTGCAGATGCTGCAGAAGGTCATCTTTGCTCTCTTTGAAAATTTTGTTTTCTTGGTGGTCTGTCACAGTCAGGTCTCCAGTAGTAAACTGAACAACCTATCCTCCTGGCTCTTCTTTTCTTCTTTTTCTTTTCTGTAAACACATAATCAGTGCTTCAAATCCTTTAGGTATCACAAACTGTACTTCTCTATTGCCCTCTACTGACTGCTAGCTACCACCGCCTTCCTGGAGAATCGGCACGCAACAGACACACAGTACGCTTTCCTCCGCCGCCCTCCCTCCAATCAATAATGATACACGACGACCAAAAGTCAACACAAATCATTCTATTTTTTCCTTTGTTACAAAAACACCAGGCAAGATTTACAGCTTGTTGGTCAGCCGTGGTAGCTACAAAACACTAAACAACAGAAGCAGGAAGCAGTTAGTAGCATGGGTCTGCTAATGTGGGTTTTTTTGGTGAGCAGAAGCCAGGAAAAAGTAGAGACAAATGCATTCTGCCTTGAAATGTGGGTGAACTCACCCCACTGATGCCATAAATACTGCACCCGGGAGCTGAGGGTTCTCTGGTTTCAAGGGTCTGGTCTTGCCAGGACTGGATGCACAGAAATACTGACTTTTGATGGGAGTTCTGCAGAAAGGGGCCTGTAGAGAGCCAGGAATTGGAGGTCATGGCTTCTTGGTCATTTCCCTTTGTCTCCAGTTTTGCTTGTTTAGCACATTCAGCACCACACCTAATATGAGAAACACAGTTTCTGCCTCATGAGACAGGTACCGGGACAAGACACATGGCATCCTGTATGTGCATGGCACCGGGAGGTGCTGTTTGCACTGCTTTTTGGACAAAGATGATCTATAACGCAAAGAGAGACCAACAAACTAATGCAAAAAAGAGGGAATGGCCCAGCACAGTTTCAGGAGCAGAAGGAAAAAAAATGTATAAGCATTTCAGACAGACTGGAAGAGACCGAGGGGAAAAAGAGCAGGGAGTGTAAGAGCAGGGTAGGGGGAAGGGAGAGAAATAAAAATGGATCCTTTGCATTGTATTAGTCACCGCTTCATCAGTACAGTAAAGTGCTTGTTAACCAAGTTGCTCAGGCACTTGCTCTCCCCCCCCCCCAAAAAAAGAAAAAGTTATCCTGAAGTGCTGGCCCACCTGCACCATTTTGGGGGCAGGGAGGAATCAGGTCCTGGCTCCAGACAAAACCAGACAGCTCCCCAGCACCCTTACCTTTTGCTTGGCAGAGGCTGGGAGAGAACACGGCCCTCTCTCGCCCCACCATTCCTCCCTAGGGGACAGACAAGACTCGCATGGTTAAAAATGATAAAAACAGCCTTCCCCCCCCCCCCCCCCAAAAAAAGTGTTGAAATTATTTTTGCTCACCTGCATTCAAAAAAAAAATTTGTTTTCCACCACTATTAATAAATGGGAGTATTTCACTTGCCAAAAATCTGTTGACTGATGCACACTGGTTATGTTTTAAAGAGACGCTACGTGACGTCCCTGCTCTTTGACTCAAGGAAGGCAGAGTTCACGCAACAACTATCATCGACAAACCCAGCAACTTGGCAACAAAAAATGTAATATTGAAAGATCTGTTGAAAAATGTATTTTTAATTCAAAAAGAAAGCCAGCAGAGGTCTTAATTGTAGCTATTATGAACGTTTCATTAAGAAGCCCAGATTTATTGACTGTACTGTAAAGCTCTCCTATTAAAGGAAGCCCAGAAATTCAATTTTTCCCATGCTTTTCTACTTCTAAAGCCCTCGGCTACTCCATGTTAGAAAATAAGAAATAATTATATTTATTCAGATTCCTTGATAGAATATTGAAGCCTGCTCAGATGAATACCTCTCCTAAACGAACACCATTAACCAATAGATCAAAGAGGAAGAATGTCTAGCAAGTGAATGGGGCCAAGGGAATTAATAAAACACACATCAAACACTGAAAAGCCGAGGGGTTCTTTTCTTTTTAATAGGAGCGCATTTGCAGAGCGATAAAGCAAAGCCTGTAGTTGCCAAAATTCATAAAAAGGCATCCAAAGAGAGCGGGAGATAGCTGGCGTTCAGCGCTTTCGAACATCAAGTGGCTTTCCGGAGCCGCTGGTTGAAATTTTTCACGTGACGACTCTTGACAGAGAAATCTGTTTTTTCCCCACGGAGGTAAAAGTTTTCTTTTCCACGGAAAGAAAAACCAAAACAAAACACCCCAGACCAACTTTTAACACGGCGGAAGGGCCCCCGCACACGGATTATCCCTTTCTGCCGGCCGGCCGGCACGGCCCGGGGGGCGGGCGCCGCCCCCG